CTCGATACGTGATCTCTTGATGAGCAAGATTATATATATATATATCTCTGCAGATTACTGAAAGGGGAGGATTACAACAGCAAGAATCGAGTGTCATACATCAAGGAACGGTTTACGAATCGGGAGTTTCTTCTTCTCATCAATCGGAGCAGTATAACCGGAATTATATTCCGGTTAACCTCCTTGAACCAAATCAAAATTCAAACAACCATGACCAACCAGCTCTCCAACTTGTTTAATTAACTGAAAGTCTAACATAAGCTTCTTTCCATCTTATGCATATTTTACACTTACGGTTTAAAAACTTAAAATGCATATGGTAACGATTTAAGAGGGACCTCATGATTTACATATATTTTATTGGTAATGTGAACAATTCAGCTAATAATTTGAAGACAGAGAGATTTGAAACCAAAATAAAAAAGAATCTTGTCATAATTATTATAATCTCTAAGTAATTCTTGTTGCTTTCCAAGCTATTTGCCTTAAGAAATCAAAAGTTTGTTATATCTACTTAAGAATTTTCTAAATTATTCTAAGTATGGATTCGTGGAGTATGAGCCGGGAAGGCTAAAGGCTAAACCTTTTTCCTTAGCTTTCCGGTTCTCATACCGCAGAGGAGGGTCTTCCCCCCCTCTCTTATATCAGCTCATGATTTGATTTTCCACTTTCTAATGAAACTATTGTAGAAATAGATTGAAGATCGTACCTCGGGGTTACTAATCTCTAGACAACGATCTTAGTACTGCGACATGTCATGAATTGGGACAAGAAGATGTGTACGATCTTTGTCAGCGAGTAAAGCTCCTGGATACCATAAATTGTAGTACTCCTCTGATTAACAGTCTGCAATATATGAGATTGTGTTGAGGGCAATGAGACTTAAAACCAAAGTATTTAAAAAGACCAAACTTTTAACTCTCATGTCCTATCAAGTTAACTAAGGTGAAAACTCTCATAGCTAAATGTTTGTTTTGTTGCTACATGTGTTCTGGCTTCTGTCTTATCTATGGATATTGCAGTCTCCCATGAAAATCTTAGCTCCCTCAAATAATGCATGATATTGTAATTAGAGTAATTAAATCAGGTTGCTTTCTATCAAAAATGATTAAGAAATCAACTTAGTGAGCTATCTTCCCACAAATTCCACATGGTATTAACACAAATCAAACCTTAGAATCTCTATAAAAAATGCATCTAATTTAACAAGGAAACTAAAGAGTGAAATCGTACAAGTAATTGCAGAGCTAGAACTAGAGCAAATCTATTTTAATGTGTAATCACAACCTAAAGAAATCTTCATCCTCTGTTCAAATAAGATCATAACCGGCGGATAAACGCAAACCGGACGAAAAAAATAAAGGGAAAAAAACGGCATGAAGTACGAAAGACAAAACGACATGATGTCTGAGTTAGGAAACGCTAAACGGAGCACATTTTTACC